ATAAATTGATCAAAATACCCCTAAAAAGTTTTAGGGGTATTTTGATCAATTTTGTTTTCACGAATTATTTCTTTTATATTTTTATTAGGTGCTCCTCACTAAGATGTATACACGTTCCAAATTCAAATTATTTCGATTTGAAAAAAAAATGAAAAATAAAACACTACTGGATAATTGTGACCGTGCTATGAACTTTGGACGGTGATGAGGCTAGGCAAAATTACTATTTATTTTCGCCTATAGACGTTGGGAAGATTTTATATATATATATATATATACGGTGATGAGGCTAGGCAAAATCACTATTCATTTTCGAGACGTTGGGAAGATTTTTTCATATATATATATATATATATATATAAGGTCGAGTTGATTGATTAGGGGCTTTCCAATTCTCAAACACTCATTTCTGCAGGAATTTTGAAGTGCCCCTTACTTCTAGGCTTATATAAAATGTTTCCATTTTTATTATAAACTAAATGATTACAGGCTCTCTGGGAGGGTCCTCCATTCATGCCATCGTGCATCTTCTCATCCAAAAATAATCATGGGGTCCCAAATTTTCGGAATTGTAACCTCCTCAACCTAGCAACAAACACATACATACACATATATGTGCACATTTTCCAAGTTAAATAATGTTCTAAATTCAATAGAGATTATCATTTTTTAAGAAACTAGAATCACTTTTTACTGAAAATTCTCATTGTCTCATCTGAAATGATTCCATGCTCCTTTGGGAGTATATGGACCATTTGCTCCCTCTGGCAAAACTCAAGCTCTAAATATTTTTGGATCTCCATAACCCATCGGCCAAAAAGAAAATAACTCTCATTTTCTATTTGCCTAAAAACTAATGTCTCAAGATTGAACTGGAAGCATCTATTTAGAGCGAAAGATCTAGGTATTCAAGAACTCAAAATCCATGTTTATAATATTAAAACAATCATCTAGTGATACTTAGATGGATCCCAGATTTTCAGAAAGAAAATATACTCCCCGCAAGAGCATTATGCTACACGCACTCAATTCCCATTTGGTGATTTTAAAATGGATCTTAAAAAGTTTACATTGGAAAAGCCTTCTAAACTCTTCTTCTTCCTGATAGAGTAAGTGTAGTTCTTCGTGATAGAGCGAGTGTTTGTATGTTCTCAGATGAGTATCCTATGTATGGTTATGTACTCTTTATAGAAGCTAAGACTATATCAGCCAAAATTTGGAGAGTACTGATTGACTTTTTAACTCCTATAATGTGCGCGATATTTTTTATTTTGAATATATTTTATAAGAATATGTTTTATAAAATATAAAAGAAACAAAAAAGAACCTCTTTGGAATACAAAATTTATATAAATATTGCGCTTGTTTTGTATTGTTCCTTTTGTCTCCTAAGATCTTCCTAGTCCCGCTGATTGGCTTTTGCTATGAGTGAAGCAACTAAGAAAAGTAGTGAAAAGGAAGGGCTCACTTCTTTGCTTCTCTCACAAGGAAGATCGAGAAGAACACAAGGAAGGAAGTAAGCGGGAAGCTGCAATGCAATCGTACAAAGAAGAGGTCTGGCCAGACAATTTTTTTTCTAATTATTCGGGGTCCGCTATAAGTCAGAGGTTTGGCTTTTTGACTGAGAAAGAGAGAAAGAGAAAGCAAGGGTTAACATCTTAAAAGTGACAAAAGGATGGTTTTGTATTGCATGAAAACCATAGTTCGACAAATGAAGTTTGGATGTAATTTCTCTTTGAAATGGATTTATAGACTTTGTTGGTTATTTGGCAAATCTAATGGTGGTTTGGAAATCTATTTTTGTTGCTAAGTATAACTCTTCAAGTTCCAAAAATATTGTAGATCAAGTAGATTCATAAGCACTTAAAAACCATGAGAATAGATCGTTTAGATGAGGTATTACAAGATGCAGTAGTTTAAGACTTTAATATATATATATATATATATATATATATATATTTTTATTTTATTTTTTTATTTTTTTTTTGCATATCCATAAATCTTGAGGTTAAGATGATAAATTTTTAGCATGAAAACAATTTTTGTCGATAAAATTTTAAGGTGAACCTTACTTTTGTAGTATAAGATTGATGTTATATAAACTCTTTCCTAATAGTGCAGATTTATGCTATCATTTACTTATGAAAAAGTTTTCTATGCTTCTCCCACAGCATAGAAGTTCTATCCTCCCCCTACGATCTAGCCGTCTGATTTTGATCAAGAGAGTCAGTCACCGTTTGATCTTAGATCCAACGTCTCAAAGTATTTTATTTTTAGTTTTTTTTATACAAATTGTATGAATATGAAATTTGGTACATGTCATCTTCTCATTAGGGTGCACCTATAAAAACTATTAAAAATAATTTTTCGATAAAATATAATGACCAAAATACCCCTTCAAAATTTCAAAGGTATTTTGGTCATTTTATTTTATTGAAAATATTTTTTTTATATTTTTCTCTAGTGCGAGTTTAATAGAGGAATGGACGTCCAAAATTTGGTGTCAAAATAGTTTACAGAAAAAAAAAATTAGTATAGAGACGTGACATTGTGATTGGGGCAATCTTAACCCTCCATTCAAAATGGACGGTTGGATAAATGGGAGGATAGAACTTCTATGCTGTGGAAGAAACATAAAAAGCTTGCCCTTTGCTTCTATTACAAAAACATTGAACAATTTTAAAAATAATTCGATGCCGAATTTATGAGCATCCGAAGCTAATCTCTAAGAAAGAGGAATCACGTACAACACACAATTGGAGAAAGGCACTCCTGGCCTCCAGCCCTGATTGAAGTCTGAACCAATGTTTTAAATTAGGCATTAGCCGTTTGGATCACCTTTTTTCTATATGATTCTAATCGGTGATATCAATCGGGAGAGTGGTTTTAAGCATGGCTCAACATAGTATTATCAAGGGTTGTTAGTGAGATATGTGTTATAACTCTCATCGGAACTATAGATTTTCATGCCTGTTTAGGTGAATCACATGAATCTTTATGTTCTTATAGTATATCTTTTTATATTTTATTTCTCTTGCTTGTACTATGGTTCATGCTCTAGCGGACATTGTTTTTGGCCGATTAATTTTTGAGGTTCTTATTTCTTCATGAAAAAGAGCTTTTGAATCCTAACATAATTATGTCACACATCGTTCTCTCTTATGAAACGGGGTTTTTCCTTGACATTTCGCTTGACTTGGGCTTTAGCTCTCTCTCGTGATCAATGGATGGAATTAGGAAAGGGCTCTTATTATTATTTAAATAAGAAACCAGCTAATGTTGTTTCATTTAATTAAACTTTGGGTACCACATTATGCCAAAATTTCTCAGTGAAAAGATTTATTGTCATTTTGGGAAGGTTGCGGTTTGTATAGAGCCTAGGCTCTAAACAATCAAATGAGCCTACCTTCAAATAATGTGGAGAAATGCCGTTTCAGTGCAGGAAATCTTTGTGATAACCTTGAAATATATTTTTATCTTTATTTACAAAGACTAAAGCTTAAAAAATAGTATAAATCGACATATCTATGAAAAACTTAAAAATCTTGAAAATTGACGGTCAAAAAATGCGTTACAAAATACATTATTTTCAAAACTTGAAATCCATTTTTTTCTCATGTACATGCATCTTGATGTCGAGATTATCAATCTGATGATATTTGGGCATCAAAACAACCTCCTCTAGTTAAATTTTTTAGGTGAGCTCTAATTTGATTGTTTAGAGCCTTGGCTCTATGTAAACTTTTCCGTTTTGGGAATGTAAACTCTAGAGCCTAATAACCTTCATCAAAGAGAAAAAAAAAAATGAAATAAGCTCTCTATGTGCCTCAGAAAATTAAAGGAAATTTTGAATTCTCAAGGTTGAACGTTAAACCTCGAATTTTCAAAAGACAAAATGCACACATTTAAGAGGTTAAAATATCTTTTTTTTCTTGGATATGATAATCTGGTCATATAGACAGAGTACAAATTTCGGGTAAAATAAATCCCTAGTCACTCTTTTGCTTGAGAGAGTTATTGTACAGTATGCTCCTACAGAAACATGCTATACACGTTATAATTATAAGGGAAAATAAAGTATACAAAGAATCGTTTACTTTTAATACAAGGAGATCACTATTAATCTTGTCCATTAAATTTTATATTGGATGGTTGTGAATGTATCATGAACTAGACCCAACTTCAAAAAAAAAAAATTGAACTTTGTGACATGCCAAAAGCTTTCCAATTTGACATCTAATGACTAGTACCAATTATGACTTCTTTATACCAAAGATAAATGGTCTCGTGGTATACCATTCCAAATTTTTATCCACTTTATCTAACTATGAGAATCCAAAGATGTAGCTTTTTCACGTGAGGGATCAAAGTGGACAGTAATGCTCTCACGGGAGCATACTCTATTGCGTCTTACTTGTATATACTATATCATGGCTTAATGATATGATATTGCCTCCCAATCTTTAAAATAAAATGGAATTGCATACTAAGTGACTATTTATCTTTGATACAAAACCGTCATAATTACTTTTTGCTATTAGATATCAAATTGGATGGTTTGAGGTGTGTAACGAAATTCAAAAAAAAAAATTTGAATTTTGAGTCTAGTTAATAACACTCTTACAATCACCGGAATTGAAATTTGATAAACGAAAGTAATTGTGATATCGTTATACCAAAAATAAATGGTCTCTATAAAATGAAAATAGCATTAGTACATGGAAAGAGATAAGATGAAAAGAAAAAATAAAAAGGCATTCACTAGTTATAATTAGTCATGAAATAAGTCATACCATATAGCCAGCCCAAAGGATTTCTTGAGTTTTAGCATATTTAGAGAGAGAGAGAGAGAGAGAGAGAGAGAGAGAGTTTTAATAAGAACCACAGCAATATCCGAGGCAGTTATCCATACAGTCGTAGCAGCAGGAGCAGCTGCAACATAGAAGTTCACTCAAAATAGGGAAGGGAAAAGAGGAGAGAGAGAAAAAAGGGGTGTCCACTCCAAAGTAATAATAATAATAATAATACTAATAATAATAATAATAAAATAAAATGAGACTAACAAAAAGAAGAAGAAAAAAAGAAAAAACTAACAAAAAAGAAGAAGAAGAAACCCCACCTTGAGATTGGATACATCAAATACTAAGATCAATGACTTGCAATGCACCAAAGAATCTGAAATCTTACCAATAATTCGTTACCCTGTCTTCTTCATCTTCTACCTTGTAATCCTTGGCTTCATAACCTGAAAACCCTTGAGAAGGAGGTGGTTCCATCTCTAAAGCTTTACTACTTTACACTGCCGAAAACCTGCAAAGGCACAAGGGCCACAGGCTACAATGGAGTTTCTCTCACCTCTTGAATCAACATAAAATAAAATTGGGACAAGAAGCAAATGGGTATTGGCCAGCACCAAGTAGGGTTTGAGTTTATAGGAGGTTGCCCATGTGACAAGCACCTCGCCTTTTGTTTTTGGAGCTTTGTGGGGTGGGTTGATTAAAGCTGCTTTTGCCCTTTACTTTTTGAACGCCATTAGAGGGGCCCATTATTTGAATGACGTTTATTTTAGGGTGTGGTTTGCATGAGGATTCAATTTTAAATAATTGAAGTAAGGCGCGTATCTAGAATTGTCATAAGTAATTTTGGTATCTATGGCTCAAATATTTATTTTTGTCTCTAATTATAAAATTTTAAATATAAAATTTCTTTTTTTTTTTTTTTAACTTTTAAAAATTGATCACGATGTGAATCTAAGATATTTAAAAATTACCACCTTCAAAAAGCCCCCAAGTGCATCCCTTATCAGAGAGACCAAATGTATAACTTATTCCTACAGGATCATATATGTGTTCCCACGAGAGAATACTGTAGGTTTATTCTTTTTTAAAATATTACTAACTTTTATAAGAAAGAGTGGTTACAATAAGTTAGAAAAGGGTTATAGTAACAACTCCTCCAACCCAAGTAAAGATTGAAATCGTGGCATCCACTTTTGATCATTAAATAAAAGTTTGGATTTTCTTGGTAAAAAAATAAATAAATAAAAGTTTGGATTCAATCTCCAAAATTTAAACAGTATACACGTTGCATTTTTGCACACGTAAAGAGATCTCCCTTCTTCGAAGTCGTTCACCAAATGCAACGTAAAGAGATATCCCTTCTTCGAAGTTGTTCACCATATTGAAGAGATTACATCTCTAAAATTAGTTTATTTAATAATTATAGGGCTTTATGTGCATTATTTGCCCACGAAATTTGATTAAATGTACAACAACCAATGTTTAACCATTCGGCGGAATCCACTTCAACTTGGCCGAGCCAAGTTGCTGGCGTAACTTGGGTATATTAAAAAATAAAAATAAAAAAAAATTATATGAATTTGTGCGATCAATATATAGAAAATTATGTATCTAATCTGGATGTATTTTATTATTATTTATTAGTTTTTATTGTCAAATACATTAATTTTTTATTTTCCTATCCTTTGGATTTTGGTAAAATGTCTTCAACTATAGATTAATTGTGACCACCTTCTACGAAAGATAAATGGTCTTATTGTATACTTTTAAACTCTTTTTAACCTAGTTTTGTTTCACTTTTAAACTTTTTGTATTTTTTTGCATTTTAAATTTTTTATGACTATCTGAGCGCTACATTAATCAACCGAGTTACTTGGCTCGATCCAATGCCAAGTCAGAACCCGAGCCAAGTCTAGAAAAATTGATCACCACCATCACCGCCTTTTGCTCCCTTCATCAATCAAATACATAATCGGCTTCAATTTTATTAGTTGTTATGAAAGGCGTATGAGAAGAATGAGACGTTGCAATTCCCATCTATTTGTGTTTTTTCTTTCACCAAAAGAATTATACTTCGTTGAGAGATTAGGCATTTATTCTCTAAAGTAAAACCTTATTTATGAGTGTTTTTGGCAGCCTCCACTCTATTTTCAGAAAATAAATAGATTATAAGTGACTAAAAAATAGCATCTATATATTGAAAAAAGATTGTCCAATTTTTTGAACGTAAAATCCAAGTATTGAAAGATTTAAAAATGATGTTTTCAAAAACATACTCATCTGATGATGATTCTAAAGTAGATCCACAATTTCCCATAAAATAAACTTCCCTAGGAAGTAGCATAGCGTGGCCCCGCGGGAGTCCACTATGCACACTCCTTTTGTTCCCCTTTTGGTAGGTAATTTCACGCTTTCAACTTCAAACGGTTGCCTAATTTGGGGCACTCCATTTTTCTTCCTCTCTATGGAGTTGGGGACCCTATCTTTGCGATTTTGGGGCTCTCCCAATGGACAGGGCTGGGCCTCGGGCTTTCGTTCTGGGCCGCGAGTTTGGGCAAATCACTAAATGAAAACACCCCGATTGAAGAATGAACTTAGGCCAGTCTCCTCTTAGTCTCCTCTTATTGAATTAAACAGTTGGGAGATTAAGTTATGACCTTGTCTTGAAAAGGAGCCATGTGCATACAAGGTTGCCTTATCAGCACCAAATGCACACTTCCAAACTGATCATCAATTGTTCAATTCCCTTTTCCTTGTAATCATCAAAACGATAAGTACTCCATAGATAATATAAATTAAAAATGGAAATCAATCACTAATTCAGCAAAAAAGGCAAAAGAAAATACTACTCCTCAAAATCTCTAACTTTCAAAAGGCCCATAATATTCCATGACCTTATGGCCCTTTGTGGTCGGGCAGACCAAAAGCCCCATAAGGTCCAACGACCACATAGGCCCGTAATATTCAATGACCTTATGGCCCTTTGTGGTCGGGAAAACCGCCTAGAACGCTATGTGGCTGAATGTTGATGTTATTTCGTATATTCGTTGGGTTGGTCCAATTTTGGAGATATCAAACCAGCTTAATTTTATTTTTTTATAATCAATGCAGTATTTTATAACCAATGCAGTAAGACGTTGAAGACAACGGACTATTATACTTAAAAAACATACACACTTCAAAAGCATAGACAGTCTGGAGTGGTCCAATATTTCAAATACTGGATATTAGGGGAATTAGAATGCCCCGAAACTACAAAAATAAAAATTAAAAAAAAAATGCGGTCCAAAATGTGCAATATCAGGCATATAGCAAAATTGAAACTAAAAAACTACCTAAGCATAAAATTTCTGAAATTTTAGACAAAAACATGTTTCCAAAAGTTAATAATTCCCATATATGAGATAAATGAGACTTGGCCCTGAATTCCGAGCTTGAGGCCCAACCTCTTTGCCATCCTTTCAGCTGCAAAGTTGTGGGTGGCCCCTGTGTCAACCAAGGCCACCGCATCCCGTTTGTTGATGGCCATCGAGAGACGACGTATATCAGCTTCTTTGATGTGGGCTTTTCTTCCGTCCTAATGGCATTGAGTTGTTGCAAGGCCCCCATCCATGGCTCTGCTTGCTCCTCCTCCCTCTTTAAGGAGTTAAGGGCCTGCCTCTGGGGGCTGTTGAACCACACGGAAATATTTTCCCAAAAAGATAGAGCCCAATAAACCACATGGTCGTGAAATCAGTGTTGTCAGGATCGGACTGGTGCTCAAACCAGGGAAGGGGTTGGTTTATTCATAATAGGTCCGAGAAATCAGTGTTATCAGGATTGGACCGGTACTCGAACCAAGGAAGGGGTTGGTCTACTCATAATAGGTACAATTCGCAGTTACATTGGTCAGACCATTTTCTCAATGTAAAAGACTTCAAAAATTTAATAAACCGTAAAAAGTTCAATAAAGTTTAGAAATAGATTAGGTAAAACCAATGAAAAGTTGGTAAAAGTGTTTGGTGATCCATTATTAGTTGAATGCAACATATAAAACCAATTGAAATCTTACTCACCGGATAAGCATGTTATTTTTCCCAGCTCGATCGGTATTTTATTTTCAAAGTTTCAAAAAAGGAGTCTCTCTCCCCTCTCTCCTAAAATCTCCCCGTCTGCATTGAAATTTGAATGGAGTTAGTTACGTTCAGGAAAGATGGAGCATAACAAGTTAAAAGTCTTAAGAAACTAACAAACAAACATCAGCTTACGTTTGTGTTTTGGATTGATACATGGGAATCTCTCCAAATTCAGGAAATCATGGGATTTGAAAAGGTTGGTATGCTGAAATGGTGTAAAGTTTGTTATTTTGTAAAGAGTTTAAGAACTCTCTCAATGTCAAAAGACTCTGTTTTTAGTTTATGGTCTTGCTTGAAAAACAAATGTTGAGAAGTTAAAAATTATTTCTTTTAGTTCTTGGTCTTGCTTGAAAGGGAAGCATGGAGAAAGAAATTTCAGTAAAGAGGAGAAAGCTTTCAAATAGCGCTTCTGCCCTTGAAGGAAACGAGATCAACTCTTGTCTGGTTTCTAATGAGCTTTCTTCTAAATCATGGAAACAATTCCTCTCCTCTCTCTGTTTTGCTCGAACCCACTCTCTCTCTACTCCGCTGCCTCCCTCAACCTTGGCCTTCATATCCACAGATTTGGGCTTCTCCTTTCTCCGCACCTCCTCTCTATTGTACGTCAGAACCATTAAAATCCAACTGCAAAAGCCCTTTTTCGCTGAGACCTTGAAATATTATCCAATTTGTAGTAATGCATGATGTGCGACACAGCCTCTTTGAGTTCGCAAATCGGTATCGTTTTCAACCCTGTTACCAACGAATACCTTACCCTCCCAGAGTTCTCATCCACACTATTTATTGTAGGGTTTCATTTCATGCGAACGAACCAGAATTTCAAGGTGTTGGTGAGATTTCAGTTGCCTACGTATGCCATATTTAGCTCTCGAACCGGATGCTGGAAGAGGATTGAGCTTCTGTTCCATCTCAAAATTGGGGTTGGGGTGATATATTGTGGGTGTGTTACGGATGCACTGAGAATGTAATGTTCATTTTCGATACAAGAGACCAGCACAATTGGGAATCCATTCCACTTATACATAGCAAATCCTCACTGAAATTGACGCAATTCTCGAAATTGAAATGAGAAGGCCGTATATGCATGAGTCTGTCGTTGCAATGTGGAGATATGGGAGCTGACAGAGAGGAAGAATTGGGAGAAATCGTTTATCTGCCTCTTTGCCAACTTCAAACTCATGAGTGTGATGGGTATATATGGTCGGTTACTCTTCATTGTTGATGCTATGGATGCGAGCATCTCTGTTTCCTTTTATTACATATACTTCTGATCTTTGTATCCTAGACTCACCTTTTACTCCAACGTCCGTGCCCTTGTGCAGCTAAATATAACAGACTGCAATTTTAATTTTTATATCTCCCTTTTCTTTTTCTTTTTTCTTTTATTTTTTTACTTTTTCTATGAAACCGTAAAGGATTTTTAATGGACTCTTTCTTCTTTCTTTTTTTCGAGGAATGAAGATATCAATACTCCTTTTGATTGAGAAAAAAATAGTTCTTGGACATTGTTAATCCCCTCCTTCCGG